GTACCTGGTGTTTTTTTTCTCACCTATCTATGCTGTTCTCTCTCTTTCTTTCTTTTTTTTCTTCTTTTTTCCCTCTCTCCCTGCTTTTCCTCAACCGCCAGCGTCCTCGAAACGGAGCCCCAGTTTGGATTCGAAGAAGCCAAGGAAAAATTACAAGGTACCAGGGTGGGAGGAGAAGGGAATTTGAGAAAGAGCCTTCTTTCGATACAGGGAGTCCTCAACTTACACCCACAACCGAGGCCCACAATTCCCACTGCCAAGCGAGACAGTTGTTAAGTGGCTCCTGCCTTGTTTTACGCCCTTTCTTGCCACAGGTTGTTAAGGGAATTACTCAACAGTTAAGTTAGGAACCCGGTTGGTTGAGTGAATCTGGCTTCCCCGTTTTCTCATCGTTGGGATGCAAATAAATTATATATATATATATATGCTGAAAGCCTTCCAAAGCTCATTGTAAAAAAGTTCAAAGAGCTTTTTCAAACTTGCCGGAAGGCATTTCAAGTGTGTGAAACATTGGCTGGCCTTTCCAGAGAAGTTTGCTTGATCTCTGGATGTTGAGTAGAGGGGTAGAATGTGTTCTCAAACCGAACCTTGGAGATGTTCTGCAAAAGGTTTATTTTTCTAAAACCCCAACTCTTTCTTTACCTGATGGATCGGATGGCCTGATCTTCCCAGCATTTTCCTTTGCAGGAAGTGCCAAGTTCCAAGTTCTTCTGACCATTGATCCTGTTCATTTTTTTCTGTCTGTCTGTCTGTCTGTCTGTCTGTCTGTCTCTCTCTCTTTTTCCTCTCTTCCCCTTTTTCCCCTGGCTGATGCCCAGAGCGTCCTTGGCTTGAGGATTCGTACAGCGAATGGGTGCAACGGCTCAAGGTACACCCCCATCCTTCAACCTCCATTTTGGAGATCCTATTTGGGCAGAGAGCGGAGAAAGAGGAGGCATAGAGGGAAGGATCTGGCAGGTTATGCATCCTTTTGCGCAGGAGAGGAAACCTATGGGCTAGTCCAGTGTTTCCCCAGCCTCAGCAAACTTTATTTTAAAATTTATGTATTGATTTTTCCGTTCAATACAATTCTTAGCGCTTTATAAACGTCACGTTGTCTGGGGATTTCATTTGCTTAACAAAGCCAGTTACGTTCTTCATCGCCACCCCTTTTCTCCAACCATCGGTAAAATAAATTCCATTTTGGATAATACTTACGTCCCCTTCCTGCTTAATTTTCAACGTCAACCCACGGCTGCCCATTTCAGTGTCAATTCATGGCTGGCTGGGGAATTGTGGGAGTTGAAGCCCCACCCCCCCCCCCCCCCACCCCCCCAAAATCTCAAAGTTCAGAAACACTGAACTAATTTTAAACCTGCCACCAAATTCTCATCTCCTGTAAGGCTGACTTTCTGGACCGAACCAAGTTCGTTTTTAAGAGGCACGGTTGCATTGGACTTGCCCATGGGTTATTCGCCCATTGTCTCTGCTGCCCCATTCTTGGAGTGGAGACTGGGGGAGAGGGTGACCACATCCAAATTGGGGGCTCTTGTCTAAGAACAGAAGAGAGCATTCCCTCCGCCCCCGCCCCAAGGAACTCCTTGGTGAGACATCAGCTCTTCCCACTTATTCCCACCCTTGTCTCGCGTGACAAAAAAAAAAGACTTTCTAAAATTCAAGAATAGTCAAGGAATTCCAGGAGGCTGAAATATTATTTCCCTCTCACATTTGTGTTTTGTTTTTTTAAATTGAGGGATGGTTGTGGGTCCCTTCCCAGATGTTGGCTCTCTCCAGCAGCATAACTTGGCTTGTAGCGGCTAGGGAATCCGTGGCCAAATAGGAGGAGCGTTGTTTTGCCTCTGGGTTCTTCTGATGCGTCTCTCTTTCCTTTCGCAGGCCCCAGCTCATAAATGTGCCTTAATTTTTGCAGATAACAGTGGAATTGATGTCATCTTAGGTGTCTTCCCTTTTGTTAGGGAATTGCTCTCTAGGGGCACGGAGGTCAGTAACGTTTCTGCCTTAGGGTGAAATGGCTCCGAGGGTCCGTCCTGCCCACGCTTTGTATGTCAGCTTGGCAGTTTTAAGAGGAGACAAGGGGGCCCCAGATAAACATTCTCCAACTTGGCATTTTGGAGGGTGGGAGGGCATGACTACAACTCCTACCCTGTTTCCCCGAAAATACGACCTACCCTGAAAGTAAGTTCTAGCTTGAATTTTACACGTGCGCCCAAAATAAGCCCTAAGTTAAGATCCCGCCCACTCCAGAGTGCACGGGGGAAAATTAAGCTAGGGTGGAGATGGGTGGAGCTGCCCTACTACTTACCTTTGGACAGGTGTTGCCAGGCCTCATACACCCCAACACTTGCCTTGCCGGGCCATTTTTTTTCTGCAGCCAGCAAGGCTTTCCTGAAGGCCTCTGGAGCTGATAACAAGACAGGGTCTTATTTTTGGGAAAACATGGTATCTTCCTCTGGCCCCTTTTATAGGACTTGTGGAAAGCACCCAAGATTAGAACTGCTAGTATGTTTATAGCTACTATATTTTTTTAAAAAAAGGATAATATTGTTTCATCCCAGCTTAAAAAGAACTAGTGGAAATACCAGCTTGATTTGACTTTTCAACCAAATAACTTAGTTCTGTGGAAGATGCTAGTCAGAATCACGACTTAGAAATCTCTTCCCCCTCAAAGCTCTCAGCACAAGACCCAAAACGTCTCCTTTCTTTTAGGGGCTGGGGTCTCCTGCAGTTCTGCCACAACTGAAATGGGTGGGGGGGTGTTTCTCCACCAGGGAGTTGGCTTTAAGAGGAGGCAGAGACAGGTAGTTAAAACCCTCAGTGATCAATTGATACCAGCCAAAGATCAATTATTTGCCAGTGAGTTAATACTTAACAAGGACGTGGCCAAACGAAAGGAACAGGCAAGGCAGTTTCTAGTTTAATTTTCTGCCTAAATTCTTCTTGGGGTGCCAACTCTCTCTTGTAAACTTTTTCCAGGTAGTAGTGAAGGCATGACCTCTTTTCATTTCTGGGCTAAACCTCCCCCGCTCCCCCCAACAATAATATCCGATGCATTTGGTGGTCTTGTCTCACAAGCCAAGATTAAAGAAATCCCACTGGCCTGGGAATTTAGCTTGTTCCCCAAACTTGTATCGGGGTTCCTCTTTCTAAAATATATTTCAGTTCCTATTTAAAATGGCTCAAACTTCCCTGTATGACCCACAATGACTTATCTCCAAAATGTCCTTTGCTTTCTCTCTCTCTTTTTCTCTCTTTCTCTCTTTTTCTCTTTCTCTCTCTCTCTTTCTTTCTCCCTCTTTTTCTCTCTTTCTCTCTTTTTCTTTCTCTCTCTCTCTTTCTTTCTCCCTCTTTTTCTCTCTTTCTCTCTCTCTTTTTCTTTCTCTGTCTCTCTTTTTCTCTCTTTCTCGCTCTCTTTTTCTCTCTTTCTCTCTTTTTCTCTCTTTCTCGCTCTCTTTTTCTCTCTTTCTCTCTTTTTCTCTCTCTCTTTCTCTTTCTTTCTCTCTCTCTGTCTCTCTTTTTCTCTCTTTCTCTCTCTTTTTCTCTCTTTCTCTCTTTTTCTCCTCTCTTTCTCTTTCTTTCTCCTTTTTCTTTCTCTTTCTCTCTCTCTGTCTCTCTTTTTCTCTCTTTCTCGCTCTCTTTTTCTCTCTTTCTCTTTCTCTTTCTTTCTCCCTCTTTTTCTTTCTCTTTCTCTTTCTTTCTCCCTCTTTTTCTTTCTCTTTCTCTTTCTTTCTCCCTCTTTTTCTTTCTCTTTCTCTTTCTTTCTCCCTCTTTTTCTTTCTCTCTCTCTTTCTCTTTCTTTCTC